ATGGCATTCATAATGCGCTATGCATATATTATTATTCTATTTTTTATACTAGCTCAGGCCGCATTATTATTATCCTGCACAAAGGGATTCCGGTTACCCCCCTTTTTGGACGAAATATTTCGTAGTAGGCCCGTGCCTTGACGTTTATTGCGAACATGGCATTCATAATGCGCTATGCATATATTATTATCATCAACCGCTGAGCATACGTCAGAAGGGTGACAATAAGACGTGCGCCGTAGAAAATTGGGAATTTTCATTAACACCTCATTATACATAAATATGATATCATATAATATATAAAATAAAAAATTAAGTTTTTTGTATTATTATACCTGATTAGAAGTAGGTATTCGAGAGGACGGCGTTGAAATCGCGATGTTGAACTGTAGACACGATAGTAATCTGAGAAAACAAAAACGAAAACAAACAATAAGTATTATCCTCGGTATTATTATATGAACTACCTCTAATAATAATGAACACGTGAAAATACACAACTAGACAGAGATGGTTATTACTTATTACAGTAGAAGCAGCAGGGTTAATATACGCAGAGGTTTAAAATTAGTTGTATTTTCGGTATTTCGTAGAGAGCTTATTGCTATTTTCGACACGTATCATATTTTGTGCGGTTGATGGAGTTTCGCACGCCCTGAAGGCAATTAATACTTAAGGCTTTTGTCATCGCGTCCAGGAGAGGAAAAACGGGGAAAAAACATCGACAGAGCTTTTCGAAAAATTTCCCCAGAGGCGAAGACGAGCTTTCATTAAACCAAGCCGAGTGCAGTGTATTGGTATTGACACTTCACTGTACGTGTCACGGGAAAAATAGATGAGGGAAAACACCGAAATGTTATATATTGTATATCCATCTTTTGGTCAATCGCGAGAAAAATAAAACCACCACTGTGGTATTTTATTTCTTTTGACAATATGTATTATTAATTATAGAATAGAAAACTGTGTACAAAACTCAAAATCAATACGTATACGAAAGTTTAATCTGATAAGTATCTACCTACGCTAAACCATTTGAACACAGTCCGATAATAAACCGTACAAATCCATTGTATTATGTATGTAATATAATCATAACTATATTGTATGATATTGTAACGGAACATAACAACACTACTTAGATACTACGTAACGTTTTATACTTACTATTGCCTATCCTATATATTACAATAAATTAATATGAAACACAGAAGTTTTCATCATTCCAATAGTCAACATAATGTTTTTATACCTTTTTTATTTTTTTATTTTTTTAATTGGCAAATAAGATATTAATTTACATTTGATATTGTCGTCATAACTCATGATTATAGTTTATTAAACGATACTAAAATATTTACGTGGATCATGCATACATGATTTCCGGAAACAAAAAAAACCAATCGTAYGATTTTCGCGATAACGAGAACAACTAGCAAAAACTTTGAATCGGACAACCCAAGACAATATTTACAATACAACACCAATATATAAGATCAAGGCTGAACGAATATTGTACCCATACTTGTGCAGTGCTTCATTGGCAGGCGAACATAAATCTCTCCCACGAGACCACTCGTTCTCGACCTCAACACCGACTGTTTTCACCGAGCACGCAAAGAGAGGCTGCAGTTGTATCGAAGGTGGCAAGTCAAGAGGTGGTAACCGGATACCGTGGTCTTACATATTAGGTATAGTATCCATACGTTTACACAATAATAATAATAATAATAATAATATGGATCTGGCGTATGTGTATAATGTGCGGACCGTATCGATAAGAACAATGTGCAGCGCCGCGCGCGACAAGCGTACATAATAATTCTTTTATTACACGTAATTGCTATTAAAACACACAGTTACACTCTGCACGCGATGTGTTTCACCTTGTTTTCCCTAAGGTTTCGGAAAACATGTGTTCTCTCTCGGCACACACGATAAATGAATTATAATGTGGCGAATAACTGGTTCGTCCTATTGCGTTATAATTTTGTACACTTAATATTTTTACTATACTTTTAAATGGGCGGTGCGGATTAAAATGAAAAAAAAACCTATAAAATAAAATCTTACTGCGGTGAATCCGCGCCGATACGATAATTACTAATGAGATCGACAATATACGATAGGTATTATAAATGGGATAGTTTAACGACGGTGAGTTGTTGCCATGTGTGCGGTAATATTATCAACGCCCATAGCATAAGGTACCGTAGGTATGTTATGGTGTATGGATATATTATTATGGTGAATAAGATCTGCGTATTATATCCTAAGAGTAATTCTTAATTTTTTTATGCCTAYTAACTATAACTATAATAATATGTAACTAACTGAAAACTGCTGGAAATTTTTATTTGTTACAAATATCATGATAATACATATTATTATAATGATAATTACACTATCAGCGTTTATCTAATAATGCACAATGATGCGTGGGCCGATATAATCATTTTTTTCCAATGAATCCAACACAAAGATTGATTTTCATCTATGAACCTTAGGCTCGTAATCTACAATTTCTAATTGAATCCAATTTAAATATTATATCATATTATATGTATAGTAAGATTTAATCAACTGATACAACGCGCTAGTAGGTACAGGGATAATGTCAATTATTAATTCAGCGGTAACCTGCAGACAAGATAATATTTTATTAATCAATAMAATTATAATTCCGTGTAATTATTATTTTACAAACTACTATTTTATCTCGAAACACGATAGAAAGTAATGAAAGACTATATACTACTATGTTATTATTATTATCATCTCGAATATCAATTGATCTATAATATTAAAAGTTTCAAAATTAATGAGGATCAACACGTTGTATGATCTATAATAAATATTACTCACACCGTTTAGATGCATATATTATTATTAAATTGAATACGTTTGTGTTTTACATACACATAATATAATATGCGATACGTCTAAAATATAATATTGCAAGTACCTAAATCTAAACCTATACATATGGTTTACCTACCATTAACATAAAAAGTGTCTCAAAGCCATTTTAAATTGAATTAGACAAATCAATTACGTAGTCGATTAATCTTATAACGAGTACAAGTCCTTTCAAAGAGTGATTGAAAATTGAAAAAAAATCGGGAAAATTAGAAGATTTAACATTAAGAAGACACATTTTTTTCCAATTTTCACGAAAGAATGCCGTCTTTCGATTTGGGGATAAGTGATTGCGCCCATCCGTAAACACAATATAGACATTCGACTTATTCCGGATTTCTGGTCCGTCACGTTGACGTTCCATGAGTAACATTAAATAAAATGTTATAATATTATTATAACGTGCACCGCCCGCTATATAAAATACATATATTTTGTCCTTCTATGGTAGTCGTTATCCGTATGTTGCGCACGCGTCCTGTTGGACATCTCGTATACACAACAAAACTTTGTCACATGCACAAACACTGCTGTATGTTTGTGCCTATGTCGACTAGCCACCACATACGTTCGATTATTATAATATAATATGTATATTGTATAATAATAATATATTAATATATGCGCTGGATACCTACACTGACTGTTGTACATCAACGTTTTATACACACACAGAAGCCATCCTCCCTAAATAGAGACGATTCTTGATCGTGTCCGTGTAGCAATAACAGTGCACGCCCCGATGACTCGCAACAATTTACGCGGTAATTGAATCCAAATATTGTTTCAGGACGAGAAATGCCTTCGAAACGTGTACGATATTATTATGTTTTTAAACAGTATTATGATTATATAGACGACCTGGTTGAACACAATATTATAATATAATATAATTTATACGATCGTACACACACACACACAATATAACATTATTATAGCTACCTCCTGGTATACGTCGTGTCACGGGCGACACCTTTACGATAAAAGTATAATTAGCTGTATCATTACATTATATTATACTTATTAAAATGAAGCAAATGACAGGTTTCAGACGCACAATTCAACAACAGCAATAATAATAAAATAATAATGTACAAAATATATGGTTAATTTATAACAGTTCAATGATTTCAGAAACATATTTAAATGTATTAAACTAAACGTGCATTGACGCATAATATAGTAGATGCCTATTAAAACATTTATGGAGTGGATGATTTTACACGAAAACTTAACAATAAATGACTACTAACTCGGTAATTATTGGATTTTATCTGACTACAAAAGTTTCGAATCACAATTATACCCACCTTAATATATTATGTTGCACATCTATATATAATATTGTAAGTACATACGTATAGTACCTATTTATCAAATAAAAATCCAACGTTTTCAAATATCTCAAACGTTGACGTTTATCACCTTATAATGCAAAATTTACATTAAGTATATTCATGATCACTACATTCACAATAATAAGATTTAAGATTAATAATAATAATTTAATTAGATACATTTTATTATAGGTAAGTGTATCTACTTATCTCCAATACATAATTTATACTTCAAGCCTACAAAATATTAAAAATTCCAAGAAGAACAATGTAGTTACGTTTCGTATATTAAATCGATTGTTTCTGGAAAATTCAAAAAAAAAAAAAAAACATTTACAAAACTACCGTGCTATTATTTTCAGTTTGAAATCAAGATATAAAACGAAAAAAGAGCTAAAACAGATGAGCTTTCGAAATAGGCTCATCTCTCCAGAGAATTCCTATGACCGTATAAAAGGTAAAGGGAAACCTGGCTCGTGCAAGATGTCGGGACCTTTAAATAACGATTGGATCCCATTTTGCGAATAAATCCATTAGTTTTAAATCCCTTTGACCTGTTGCCCAAACACATACCGATTTTCAAGATATATAATTCATTGTCAAAAAAGCAGTTGGTGGTTGCTGCTCTACATTCCCGAAACTGATAGTCAGAGTTAAATTTAAAACGTGTTACCAATGTTTGTTTGACAAGAACTAAAAAACATTATTCTTAATGTATAAGTTTAAAACCTATTTGTAAAAAAGTAAACTTAAAATATATTCATGTTGTATGTTTGTTAATTCTTTGATACGGTCAATTGGATATTTGGATATTTGGATAATTCATTTTATTTTATGATCCGAACATTAAACTCGAAAAATAAATTTTAGATGTTTCAAACGTAGGTACTTTTATTATTTGTACAAACAATAGCATTTTATTGGATTGAAAAACAAATGTCCCGAAACGAAAAATGGTAGATACTTACACTAATAAAATAAAGTTTCTCAGCACATAATATAGAAAACCGTTTAACCAAAATGAACACGATTATTGAAAAAACCAACATTATAAATCTGTTCTATAAACCAGCTAGTACAATATTAATCTAATAGGACCATACTGACCAATACAATTTAATATAAAATATCAATTTAAAAGAAACCAAC